CAGAGGGGTGGGGGGAGACGGCAGCTATTAGACGTTGCACCACAATGTCCCCCTTACCGAATGAGCGCCTCCAGTTTTGCTCAAGGAGTCCTTCAAAGTTAAGAACTGCAACCAGCTTTTTTACTTACGTTATTTTTCCAGTTTGTTTGTACAATGTATGTAGCCTTGTGCTGGATGACATAAAAGTATATCAAAAGTGAAATGCACCTAGTCGGCAGCTAGCTCTGAGCCTAGGAAAGGGGAGGGTCCCGGGTAAAAAGACGACTGCTTCACGGACCCGGGTATCCCTCTCTACTGAGGCTTACTCCTAAACTTTTACAATAAAAGAAAATACTTTCCGTGCGTTTAGCGCTCCAAACTGCAATGCCCCCTCTTGCTAAATGAGACCCCTGTTAGGCACTATGAAGCTACCCCTTTGTTGGTTTCTACCCTGACAATCCCTTGTCATCCTTTTCGATGTACGGGCGGAAGACCAGCATGAACATATAAGACCAAACGTGCTCGGGTGACTCCCATCTCACTCCCACAGGTATCGTGACCCTCGTTACAGACAGATCACTCGTTCAAGAACACGTACTGAGATATGTAATAGTTAGGTATGACCATGAAGCAGCAATAAAAGTAGTAATTACAATAAATTGATGAGATATTGCCAAAAATTATGGAATACTTAGTGGCGAAATGTCGTTTTACTACAATATCTGGAGAGAAAATAATTCTCCACAAGGAAGTCTAAGAGCGGATACGAATTTGAAAATGGCTGTCGAAGAAGCAGCTGTTGTAGTTACGACGTGCTGAGATCGATTCTTGTGAGAGTAAACGCTCATTTGTGAGAAAACACGACAAAAGAAACAATAAGCAATCAAATCACGTTAGGAACCCATTTAGGCGACGTTGGACCGTGACAGACCACACAGGTAAGTAAGACTGTTGACTGATTCATCAGTGCCAGCAGCAGAGATTACACGCTAAGACAATTTTTTGGACACAAAAAAAGTCATGAATAATCCGCATACGTCGCTGATGGCGGCTAGTGGAGTGGGGACATTGTGGGGCGGAGCCGGGGCTAGACTCCAAACCGAGCAGGCCAGCTGCGAGAGAGTGAGCCGAGTCGCGGAGAGTGCCATGAACTCCGTGGCCAGAGACGCAGAGGAGCTTTAGCGATCGATTTGAAACCGTTGGTTGGTGCTGCTGCTGCTGTGCTGCGCGTTTGCCTTTCTCTTGACTCGTGATATCATCGAGCATTCAGCGTCCACTAAACCTTGTGACGTTTGTCGGAGCGATTTTCTGCTTGTTATTCTGGCAGGTCGGCACGCGATTGGACGCGATACGCCCACACGCCATCTTATTCGTTGATCTATCAGACGATAACACCACTTTTGTAACCGTGCGGGGGCGGGGCCGCGGGTTGACGGTCACCGCTGACGCACTTGACGGGATTTCGCTTGGTTCCCGACACGATTGTTGCGTGTAAAAACGCCAATTAACAGTGAACGGAAATCCAAATCGAGGATTGTTGCGTAATCTTTGGCCTATTTCTGATTTCACCCTGTTCTTGTTGAGCTTGGAGAAAGGGACAAGTGGAAGACAAGCCGACGTTGATCAATCGTTTTGATATGCTCCAAAATCCTGGCTTCGATTTTGTAATTAGGTAGCGTTCATAGCTTGTTTTGAGCGATTTGGCGATTACGCTGGAAGGAATGTACAAGTATCGATTAGAAGCGCCGATGCTCGGCGTACGGTCGTAGAGTGGAGTCAGTTCAATCCATATGCACTTAGTCCTTTCAGTGAGATTGCCGAATCGCCTAATAACCGTAATTTCAGATTGATTCGCTTACATCGTTTACAGTGGAGTCGCTGAATCGCATATATCCTAAGCATTGCCGGAAGGCATTTTAGCGCGTAACAGCAAAACGATTTA